TATATATATATATATGTATGTATATACTCCTTTCCAAAAGAAACTTGACACATTTTCTTTAAACATAATACTATTAAATCAAAACGGATAATGATGATATTTATGTACAGTGCAGTGCGTTGGTTTTACTATCTTCGGAATCAATTTTGACAGCACAACTAAGTGAGTTCGCTCAATTCTGTGTGTTTAGTATGATTTCACTTGTTAACTTGTTATTCTGTTAAGCATGAGTTTTCTGTGTTGTCTTCGCTATCAATGTGTAGCTTATTTCAAAACCTACAAAAGGTGTGTAAAAAGTTTATGAAAACATCGTTTGCATTTGAACTCCGAGCTTCAGAAATCTAGAAAAATGTCGACTTTCAACCATGCCGCGTCTCAGTGCAGACAAGCGGGGGCGCGCTATAGGGCATCTCGAAGCAGGCGTTCCCGTGGCGGATGTGGCAAGGATTTTTAACTGTAGCAGGGAAATCATCTACAGTCTGCAGACCAGGTACATGAACACAGGAAGTACAAGAGACCGGCCAAGATCAGGGAGGCTGCGGATAACCACCCCGGCACAGGATGGGTATGCACCACCCACCTGAAGGACAAGTTCCAGTCTGCTTCGCATACAGCCAAAACTCTGCCGCAACAGCAACCAGTGAGCACACAGACAAGTATTCTTCTCAGGTCCTTTTCATGGATGAGTCTAGATTTGTCCTAGGTCGCTACGATGGTCGAGTGCGGGTATATCGCTGTCGAAATGAAAGGTTTGCTGACCAGTGTGTACATGAAATCCCTTACCGGGGATATGGGCAGGTGATGGTCTGGGGCGGAATCACAACAGACCACAGGACGGCACTGGTACATGCTCCGACATCACAGAATAGCGCCAACTATGTAGCCACCATCTTGTAACCACATGTGGCACTGTTTGTGCAGAACCATCCAGGCTACACCTTACAACAGGACAACGCTCGAGCCCATCGTGCCAGGGTGACACAAGCTTACCTCACACAACAACAATTCGGTTTCATCCATCCCTGGCCAGCAGTACCTCCCGACATGAACCCGATTGAACATGTGTGGGATATTCTCGGGCCTCAAAACCAAGAGATGAATGCCGCTCCTAAGAACAACGCTCAGTTGATTCAAAGCCTAACCAACGCTTGGAACGCTATCCCACAACATCAAATTTCCAACATCGTCAACTCTACGAGGCACAGATGCCGCGCTGTCATTGCTGCAGGCAGCGGTCACACACAATATTAATCCTGCCGAACTTTCAGACATAACTTGAAATGCTTTAGATTTGACCAGTACCAGTGTATTTTGCTATCGGACATTTCGAAAACCATAATTTAGGATTACTATGTCAATGTAAAGTTTCTATGTGGAAGAACGCACATTTTCTGACTTTTTGAATTTGGACCGTATCATTTCAGGAGGGGTTTGAAGCACCAGGTGTGTATTATGTGCATTAAAATACAGGTTTTCAAATCCAGAAATGCTTCTTCTTTTTATATGTAAAATTTTGTCCCTGTGTCTGAAATGGTTTATTTTTTATTTAACACTATTCTTTATGTCAAGTTTTTTTTGGAAATATATATATATATATATATATATATATATATATACTCTTAGGCACACCCATTCCCAATCACATCCAGACAAGCGACTAAGAATGCAATACCACCCACATTCTGATATACACACAGATTCACACACCCTGACATTTTTTCATAATAGACTGACTTTGTAGCTATTTTATAAAATGTGTCAATGTTTTCCAGGTGTCGTTTGAGCTGGCCGAGTACACTGCAGACGTTGATGCAGTTGGAACCCTCAGGTTATTGGATGCCATCAGGACGTGTCGACTGACTGACCATGTAAGAAGCGCTTTCAGATTATCTACTAATATTTCTTTTCTGTGTTACCATTATCTTTAACTCGTGTGGTTCAACATAGGCACAATGAGTTTTAAGAAAAGTGGTTCCTTTATTTCTTGTTCATTTCCCCTGTCTAGCAGATGAGCAAAGGGGCGTGTCATGGAATACTCAGCAAGGTTACAGTCCTTCAGCCAAAGTCACGCCTCTTTGTTGAGATGTGTTTTAGCCAAGAAATTTCACAGTATGTGAGAATACTTTTTCAAAATATTTGAAAATGTTTTTATAGTATGTGAAAATATTTTTTCAGAATGTGTAAAATGTTTAAGATTATGAGTGAGAATAATGTACTTTTGCTATATCTTTGTGTTTTTAGGTGCGCTTCTATCAGGCTTCTACTAGTGAGCTGTATGGAAAAGTACAGGAGGTGCCCCAGTCAGAGACCACACCTTTCTATCCTCGCTCACCCTACGGTATGTTGTTTTGCAAACCGTAAAGTTGTTAAAAATTTAGGTTATAAGGTATTTATGGTTGTGTGTGGATGCACCTCTGTTTTCCTTTTACTATGGTGCTTGTTTTTTGGGTTTTTTTTTGGAAAGCATGTAAGTTTGTACTGGCAAATAAACATCTGAAATAACTTTAGTGAAATTTTAGAATGTTTCCTGCCCCATTATGTGCCATTTAGCTGAGATTCAATTTGAGTTACTAGATATTTTCTACATGTCACACATTCTAATACAGATATCATGTTGAATTTATAGTGAACTTTTACTGGAAATATATTTGTTGTTTGACTTCTGGAGGGGAGGGGGCGGAGGATGGGAGATGGGGCTGTTACTGCTGTTTATGTTTGAAAAGTAACTACAGTCTTTATAGCAGGGTGACTGTCGGGCCCCAGGAATTTGAAAAAAATCGCCGAGACCCGGGAAGGTCCCCTGGAATTTGAGGAAATCTGTAAATTGCCCCGAGAAAGAACATAAAAGTTCTCGAATATTTGAAAACCAAATCCGATAACGTCTTTAGATTCATTTGTGGCGATCGCGATTTCGGTATGACTGGGTTTTTGAGTATGTTTCACGCGAACAGGTGGCTATGGCGGCAAGCAGAAGTGTATGTATGATACCGAGGCTCAATCGGGAGAATCAATATCTACTTTTGCTTTTGTTAACGCAACATTAAAATTTGTCACATACAGGTTGTGCATTACAAACGTGGTGTCGCCATGAAAATAAATCAATATACGTCTATGTTCTGTCATGTGTGGGGGATAAAAGAAACGAAAGCCAAGAAGAAAAGAAAGTTATTCAAGCGTCTTGTCGGGCTCGCCATTGTGACCGGTCAGTGAACCTGCACGCGTTCTGAACGCTGCGAAGTACAGGACTCCTGAATGGGGGAGATTGTTGATTTTTAAAAAAAGATACACTCGGGGAGGGGGGAGGGCTGAACGCAACACCAGAGGACAAAAAGCTGAACTTGGAAGCAGATTTTTAATATTTAGAATTTTGATTACTACTACAGCCCTCTGCAAAGTAAAGTGCGCGTTGGTGCAAGCTTTGTGGCACTTGTGGGGAATCCGGATCCGTCATAACTTGTAAGCCTGTTATTGAACTTAGGTGTTCGCGCTTCATTGGATGGGTGACAGTAAATTATATCTATATATTTTAGCTTTCCGTTCAAGATTCGCAGATTTTCAGTGTCACAATCTTGCCATCCCTCAGTTCTTACTCCTCTCGCACGGAATAGGGCTTGAGCTATTTAAGTTATTACTGGTACTCTACTTTGAGTTTGAGCAATAATTGTCTTTCACTTTTATTATATGAATTATGACACACAGACTGGTTCCTGACAGTCTATATTCTGGTTCTAGGCCTTTTCACAGGCTCAAAACAAGATTTATTTTCAAATAGTTTATAATATATGCAGGCGAATATGATGAGGAGAATATAAAAATAAGTAAGAACAGACTGAAATACTAAGTGGCTCGAGGCTACAGTGCAACACTGACATGTTGTTGACTGGATATATGTACCTACATACACATGTATACACACACGCACTCATATATATATATATTTAAAAAAAAAAAAATTTTTTAAATAAAAATATATATATATTTATATATATATCTACACACACACAGTGTCATTGTTATGTAACGTGTCCCTGGAACATGGATGAACTGAGAAGCCGGGTTGGCAGTCACCCTGTAAAGTTCTTTTTAGTTTCAATTCTGTACTGCATAATTTTTTTAAAATCGATACAGGAATGCAGCTCTGACATGAAGTTTATAGCTTGATTTGTTGAATCAGAATACATATTGATTCTTTCCCTTCTGTTGAGCATGCTCAGATTTTTTGGTCATGTGAAGTGGATCAATCAATAATTCTTTTGTCATTAAATCATGGACACATCTGTGGACACAGCTGTTCTTGTTAAGCAATCTCTTTCAACATGCTCAAAATCTGATTAAACTGTCAGGTTTTTATTTATAGGGTACAGTTTATTGGACTGCTGAAAGAAAAGTTTTATTTCTTTCGTAGCATCTGATGTGCTCTCTATTTTCTCTTGATTTGGTGGGGAGATGTGTGAGGGATTGGTACTACTGTTTATGTTTGAGAACTAACTGCAGTTTTTATTGCCTGGCCTTGTCTTGGTTCTTTATAACTGACATTGCCATAGAGGACATACTCAAAGTTCTCGTATGTGTTTAGGAATTATTGAAAGAGAGTCTAAGCAAACAACTCTTAACACTTTCCCTACCGCGAACTGCAATATGGCTCGTGGGCGTGGCCTCGATGGACCAAGAGCCGCAAAATACGACTCGAGTAGCTCGCTATCTATTCCAATCCAGTAATGAAAGGGTACAAAATTCTCGTCTAATCCATGTTTTCAAAATAATAGAATAAACTTCCTGTTAGCGGATACGAAAGAAAATATAGCACCGACTGACGATTTTCAGTCATTTCAGCGCTTTTTTCTGTCCCCTTTGAAACACAAAAATAAAAATAAAAGCGCTCCCCTGACTTCAGTATATAACTCATATTTTCACTTCTATAATAGGTACACATGAATAACTTTCAACATTTCTTCGCATTGCTAGAGGCAACCTACCTGGGAAGTTTGAATGATGCTGTTGTTGTACTTTTTTAGTTATGACCTTTCAAAGCTGGAAAATTGTTTATTTCATATGACTCCTTTGCTATTGCATAATCACTTTTAGTAACCCCAAACTAATATAATGGAAAAAATCTTCAATATTGTATCACCATCTGGTAGATAACTTTTTTACCTGCCTTCAGTTTGATGTGCCATATGATACGGTATGTGTGTATTTAGTTGGATATTTTGACATTTTCCTTTTAGTGGGGTAGGGGGGTAAAAATAGGTCTAGGAAAAGCCCTGGGCCAGGGGTGGATTTTGGCCTGGTAGGAAAAGAGTTAAACAATCAAATAGTTGAAAACTGGAAGGAAAAGAGTTAAACAATCAAATAGTTGAAATTCAGTGCTGAACAAAACTTCCTAAGAATTGACCCAGAAACATGCTCCAGGGTTACTAAAAATTTCAAGTGGCATTTTCGGTCTTGTCTTGAGAGAACTGGTCAACACCTGGGGCATATAATTTAAATATAACACTCTTTCCCTGAGTTAATTTGGCAATGTCAGTTTAAATAAATTTCTTATGAAATGCTTTTATGCGTATTAACTTAAGTTTTTTGTTTTACTGAATTTTAGTTGAAATGTACAAAAATTGATATTTCTCTAAGACATCTGTTGTTTTTTGTCTTCTTATTGACAAATTATTTTTTTGACTCCTTATTTCTTAAATCAGCTCTTGATATTAATGAAGCTTTGTTATTGTTTTTATTTTGCAGTTAGCCTGAGAAATAATTAAATATATTTTTCACCCTTAAACTATACTAAACTAAACTGTTCTAGCGACCCCCTGTATAAAACAGTTACCTGAACAAATGGCCTCTTCCCATTTCCCCTCCTTAGGGTTTTTTTCCGCAGCATAATAATAACACTATACAAGACGGCCACATTTTTTCCCAACAATGGGCAGCCGTCTTAGACCATTCCAACTGTAATTTTGATTTTCTTTTTAGTCGTACTTGAAGCTTTCAATCCCTGAAATTAGACTTTTAAAGTCAGATGACATTTGTTCTCTTTTTTTTTTACCTCTAGTCTAGTGCAAAGTTGTCAGTAGAATTCCTGCATTCTTTTCACCATATCTGACTTAGACCAGCCAAGCTGTGTGTTCTTTTTTTTGTCTCTTGACAAACTGCTGGTTGTCCCTTATCGTAATAATTTTCATAGAAGTGACATCCCAATTCTGTAATTTTGATTCTTTTGTATTTGATATATACAGAAATAATTTGCTTTATTTTGTTAATATCGTTTTTGAATTTGCTCATTGTTAGTTTCTCTCGGTCGTGTTATTGTCATACAGAAGTAAAAAAATCAGTGTTCCATAATACAATGACACAACCAGTTATGATGGTGGAAAAACCAATCTTACTTCAGTTTTCCTGTCTGTCATTCAGGTGTGGCCAAGCTGTACGCCTACTGGATTTTGGTGAACTACCGAGAGGCCTACAACATGTTTGCCTGCAACGGGATCTTGTTCAATCATGAGAGTCCTAGAAGAGGTGAGTGTGTTTGTGTGTGTGTGTGTGTGTGTGTGTGTGTGTGTGTGTGTGTGAACATGCATGCGTGATACATGTGTGTGTGTGAGTGCGGATGTGTGTGTGGCTGTTTGTATGGCACTTGTGTACTGCTTTTGTATCAACATAATTTTGAGCCCAATGCACGTGATCAATAGGTCTGCATAATTTTGTCCTAATATATGACTGTTTGGTCAAAGTAAATGGGCCCCCTGGGGTAGTGCCACTGACTGTAGTGTCTTAAGGCCATTCCCAAAGGGGGGGACATTTCACAGTAGAATTGTAAATGGGCTGATTCATGTCATGCTCATAACTGTGCCTGAACTACAACAGGGAACTGGTGCTTTTTCTTTCCTAATCCTTACTATTGTCATTTTCCCTCTACTTCTTTTGTATGTTTGTCACTCTCTTGTGACCTGCTATTTTTGGGGTGCCTTGATAGTCGAAGCAGACCTTGCGCTGTTGAAGCTAGAGAGGTGAGCAGAATAAGTCTGATTCCCTGTAAAGACTTCTCTGTTGACTCCCACCCCTTGGCGCTCATATGACCTTATGCAGTTGCGAGCGCCGTAAAACGCTCTATTAGAATTTTTAAAAAGTTAATGACATAATCAGTAAAACGGAACCCTTCTTTTTACTAAGGAGTATTGATTCATGTGCTGAAAAAGTCATGAGGATCTTGTTGTTGTACTAATTGAGGCCGAAACAACTGATCCCAGTTTTTTCCTTGTGAAATTTTGTCCTTGTCAGGTGTTTTTCCCTGAATCAGATTTGACTGTGATCCAGAAAAGCAATGTATTTGATCATTTGTGATAGACTTGCATTGTTATAAACTCAACTGGTTTTGGCAAGAAGAAATCTTACTGAAATGGTCACGTCCATTGTGCAGATCAGGTTAGAAGTGACAGAAGCTGTGTAGGTGTACAATTTACTTTTGAATCATGCCATGAATAGGATGAACTTTGTGATTAATATGTGGTTTTCACCTCATTCAAATGATACATCTGTCTTTTGATATATTATGTTTGGAAGTGGTTTGCAAATGTTTTGTCTGGGTTATTCATGATGCTTGCTATGGTTTTGTCATGTGACTTGGAGTAATAAAAAAGGGAATCAACTGATTCTCAGGTAGGTCCTATTTTTTTCCGTTCGTTCTGTTGTTTCTGTCTGTCTGTCTTACTTTTTCCTCGCAGTAAATGACCGATAATGTGTCTTTGTACTTTTCTTTATTCAAACAAGTCCATTCAATGATTGAAATCCACATCATTGTCTTCAAACGAGTGCAGCACTATTTTTTAGAATATCATGTCAGGGACTGCCATTACAATGTTAAGAATGCTTTTTTTCTCGTGTGTTAGTGTTCTCAGCTGAAATATTTTAAGTTTTACTTGTCTCGGGTAGTTTTGCAATGTTCTGAATTTGAAGGAAATTATTCTCTGTTCTTATTCTGATCTAGGTGAAACTTTTGTGACTCGTAAAATCACCCGTGCTGTGGCCAAGATTACACTAGGACAGCAGAAGGATCTAGAATTGGGCAATTTGAATGCCAAGCGTGACTGGGGCCACGCCAAAGATTATGTTGAGGTTGGTGTCTTTTTTTCTTTTTCCTCTCAAAATGTATGTGTATGTGGTGATAATATTGTCCCTCTGCAAACACTTGTCTTGTGACACTCTATGGTACAGGGTTGAAGACAAGTGCTTTGTTTAATTCGCTTCTTTTGGTGTTAAAACATTTTTTTGTCACAATCAATCTGTTCTATTTTCAGAGTTATTTTCTATCCCTATTCAATGTTTGTTTTATGTTACTTTTGTTTTTGTCAGTTTGCTTTTTATCACTTTGTTTCTTTTGTATCATTTTGTTTTTTTTTCTTTGTTATTTTCTGTCCATGTTGTGACCCCCTCTTCCTTTTATCTGTGTAAGTTATCATACCTTCTTTCCTTTCATTGCATTGACATGCTTGCTGTCAAACTCAAAATATGATGTCAGGGTGAGGATCCTTCTCTTTATTCTAAATCAGAAAGTCAATTATTCTGTTGCACTGGGGTTGTTTGCCATTATTGTATATAATAAAGCAAAAATAAGAACTCCGTTTCTAAATGAAGAAGGGTAATTTAATGATGAAAATAATATGAGGTCTGCCCTCTCTGGCTTCACTGACAAGACTAAATAAATCAAAATGAGCATGAGTACATGTGATTGAAACAGGAAGGAGGAGTGAGTAAAGATCACTAAGATCAGACAATCTTTGTTGCGAGGGTAGATAAATAAAAGTACAATTACAGGGACATAATTCAACATGTTAATATAGGGACCAACAATCCAGGATTTATTGTTTCCCTTCTGTATATTGATAAAAGCAATCTAATAGTCTAACATATTCATCATACAGTACAGGAAAACTAGAAGAGGGGCTGAGGCTGTGATCAAGACATTTTAGAAAATAGATTTATTCAACTACTCTTTTCGATTCTCATGTTTAAAATGTTTTGTATCTGAATCTATATAATTTGTTTGTTTTAAAAAGAGAAACCTTAAAGGAGTGTCAGCTGTTTTGGGCCAGCTGAACAAGTGGTAAGGACTCCTCAAGTAGTCATCTTACTGTAGTGTCATGTAATACTATTTCTCTATCCACACTTACCCAAGGTTTCAGTGGTGGCATTCTCTCATGTTAAGACCTTGCAGTCTTTTATTCATATCACTGATGTACAGCCAGAGGCATAGAAGAGGAAGGGGGCTCTCGTGGCTTAGATGTTAAGGTGTTCGCCTCTCTGACACCAGCTATGGACTTCCGAGCGGTGGCCCCTTGTTGGACTTGGTGGCGGGTGGGGAGCCCTGGAGATAAATAAAAGCGTAAAATATATCGATCCAATTAAAAAAAAGTCACTTAAAGCTTTCGGTATGCACAAACCAAAATACATTAAAAAACTAGGATCCACTGACCTCCTGATACAGGTCAGTTCCAATATAGAATCAGGCAAACTGTTGGCCTGCCCCTCGTTTGGTGGCATCCCTGTATGTGTTCAACCTTACTGAAGTCTGAACACATCCAAGGGTGTCATCAAAAGCTGAGAGCTCTGCGGCTGTATGGAAGAAGAGATGGTTCAGGAGGTCGATGGAATTGTCCATGCTCATCGTATCAAAGTGCGGCGAGATGGCAAGGAAATCTGTACCAGCACGTGGATCCTTACCTTCAACACACCCACACCACCAACAAAATTAGACATCGCATACCAAGAACTAGAAGTAAGACCATATATACCGAAACCGATGTGCTGTTTCAACTGTCAGCGCTTCGGACACACACAGCTGCGCTGTTGTCGTGGTGCAGCGTGTCCTTGCTGCGGCAAGGAAGGACACTCTGGGGAGACGGAGTGTCCGAAGTGGTGTCAGGAGAAAGCCATCCTAACACATAGGGCCCAGTACGGCGGAACGTTCGCTTAAGCAAGAGCAACGCTTTACATAAAAGGATCGACGCCGAAGAATACAACAAAAACATATTCAGAAGTCCCGAAGACCGTCCCACGGTCAGTAAACCCAACCCGAAAGGTCCTTCAGACACGTAGAAGGCAGAACACCTGCAAAAAACAATACTCCAGGCTGGAAACGGAGGAGGACATGGAGTCCACTTCCTCTCCTCCTACCTTCTCCACTCTCCATCCGCCATCTCCCCACACCCCCTCTTCATCACCACCCTCTCAGCCATCTTCTTCATCCTCATCCCCCTCATCATCCTCACCCTCATCATTCTCATCTTCACCCCCATCATCATCTTCACCCACAACATCCTCACCATCATCATCCTCACACAAATCACCACATCCTACACCCTCATTGCTTTAACCTCCATCCCATCATCCTTCATCCAATAAAGCCCCTCCACCCACTCCCGGCATCCGCTCCCCCTCCTCTACCCGCATCCAGGACCCCGGTCCTCCTCCCCCTCCACACTCTCCTTTAAAAAAAGCTGCGGTCCATCGTGACCGCAGCGAAACAAAACAGAAACAACGGTCACCTACGACCAAAAAGAAATGTAATTGAACCCGTGCCCTCAAAATAAATAAAAATGGCAGTTCTTCAGTGGAACCGCGAATTTACCTCACACACCCCAAATGTTATCTGTCTACAAGAAACTAAATTGCCAACACCCACATTCACTTTAAAAAACTATCAAACTTACAACCAAATATACACCGACAACCAAATTGCCTCTGGGGGCAACTCCATTTTAATAAATAACCAAACACTACACTGACAAATACAACTAAACACAACACTTCAGGCAGTTGTGGTCAGGGTCACCCTACACCGTCCTATAACTACCTGTTCAATATACATCCCTCCAAATTATCCTCTATCTTTAAGAGAACTAATAAACCTCGGAGAACAGCTCCCACAACCCTTCATCGTGTTGGGAGATTTTAATGCCCATAGCCCTCTTTGGGGAAATGAACCAACTGACACTAAAGGTAAAATCATATAAAAATTTCTTAACGAAAACCAATACTAGTATTTTTAACGACAATTCCCCAACATTTCAAAATTCAAATGACTTAAACTTTTCATCCATAGATTTAACCCTATGTGATCCAGATCTAATTCCAGACTTTCAGTGATCGTCCTTGACGACCAACACGGATCGGACCACTTCCCCATCAACCTATTTCCAGACATTCCACACCGAACTCCTATCCCGGACCGTTTCAATCTTAAAAGAGCGGACTGGGATGGTTTTCGCATGGAATGTCTCCAGAAACTCAATCCTTCTCAAACACAAACTTTTGATTGATTTCATGAAACCCTTCTTGAAATCGTTCAAAGACACATACCAGAATTATCCACCAAACCCCGAAAAAATAAATGTTGGTTTACTGAAGATTGCCAAAAAACTGTTGCAGCCAAAAAATCAGCTCTTAGGAAGTTCGTCAACTCTAAAACAAATGAAGACCTCACAAATTTCCAAATTGCACGAGCCCAAGCACGCAGAATAATCAGGACGGCCAAAAAAACATCTTTTTCGCAATTATGTCTCTAAAATAAACAACAAAACACCAATGCACAAAGTCAAGAAGATGATAAAGAAATTGAAAGGTACTAAAAGAGACACAATCAAACACATCTTAAAACCAAATAGTTCCTTTGCAGACACAGAAAAAACAGTAGCTGACTATTTAGCATCAACCCTCTCCGGAAATTCTTCTACCCAAAATTACAACCCTGAATTTAAAAAAGTGAAAATGTCTTCTGAAAAAACAACTGTTGATTTTACCTCTTCAAATAAAGAAAACTATAAGCTCCAGGCCCTGATCAAATACACAACAAAATCATCAAACATCTCCGACACGAAACACTCCTATTACGCCTTAAAAGTATTTTCCAATCCCGAATGGGGAGGAGACACTGAAACACTTCTTCAACTTTACCATTCCCTTGTCCGTTCCAGGCTGGACTATGCCAATCCTGTTTACGGATCAGCTAGAAAGTCTTACCTTAAAATTTTAGACCCTGTTCAGAATCAAGGCCTTCGCCTTGCCCTATGCACTTTCCGTACTTCACTTGTAGAAAGTTTACAGGCTGAAACTCATGAACCATCTTTAGAACTTTAAAGGAAAAAACTGTCTTTGAAACTTAGCTCAGCACCCCAAAACCCAGCCCACAAATGTGTCGTTGGCCTTTCCGAAGATCTAAAAACTCTATCCTCCTTAGGAAATAAAGTAAGCCCTTTAGGAATAAGAATCCAGAACGATCTCAAAGACATCAATTTTTCTGAAGACACAATCGAGCCCTTTGCCATGTCCAGCATACCTCCATGGCATTTAACCAAATCAAACATAGATACTAGTCTTGAAAAACACAACAAAAAGTCTACAGACAAAACGACATACCTAAACTCATACAAACAGCTAATAAATAGATACCCTGAAGCAGAGAAACTCTTTACAGATGGATCCAAAAATGACTCCTCTGTAGGAGCTGTTGCCACACAGCTTAAGATTAAGAAAACTCCACAGAGAAGCTTCAGTCTAGACTGCTGAGGCTACAGCTCTTAAAATGGCCCTAAATATAATAGTCTACTTTCCTAATCCTTTCAGACTCTCTCTCTTGTCTGAAATCTTTAGAGCGCTCTGACACCTCCGACAACAAAATTTTAAAACTTATAATTAAACTGCATTTTCTACTTCAGTCTGGAAAAACTATTACAATAGCTTGGCTTCCAAGCCATGTAGGCATTGATGGCAACGAAGCTGTTTACCAATTTGCCAAAGAATCTCTAAAACTACCTGAAAACAAAAGTAGTAAAATCCCTTTCTGTGACATGAAACCGAAAGTAAAAGAACACATCATATCCTCCTGGTCCCAAATTTAAAATTAACAAATACACAACAAACTCCATTACATTCAACTGAAACTTGCCCCCAGGAAACCCCTGTCTCTCCTACGAAGAGAAAACGTGATTTATACCAGATTAAAGATAGGACACATGCACGTCATGCACAAACAATTACTCGAAGGAGAGGAAGCTCCTTTTTGCGTGGCGTGCAACACATATTTCACAGTTCGGCACATCCTAACGGAATGTGTCGAATTTAATGATGTATGTAAGAAATATATTAAATGTAAAGATATCAAAACCCTTTTTGACATTGTTGACCCTAAAAAAATTTAAGTTATGTTAAAGAAATAGGACTATTTAATAAAATAGAAATACATAGGTATCGTTGTCAGTGTATATATATATATACATACACTGAAATTGATATTGTATATACAAATGTAAATAAGTCTTTACCATATTTACAAAAATTTTCATAAATGTCTGTCCTTCCTTTTAGCATAATGATGATAGTGTGACCATGTGCGGTTGCGAGCTCCGAAAAACTCTTACTAAAACATGCCTGATTTTGTTGCGGTGAAACATGTTGGTGCTTAAATGACCAGAATTGGGTTGATAGTGCCGTAAAACACCTACTCAAATCAATTAATTCGTACAGCGGCTTTTTGGTCCCAGTACATGTTTTTGATAATTCTTAGATCTTTTCCTTCTATGTCTAGCTTTTCCAGTATTTTAAATAGCTCATCATGTCTAACTTTATCGAACGCCTTTGAATAATCTATGAAGCATAAATACAGATCTGTCTGTGCTTCAATACATCTTTCCATTAACATTGTTAAGATGAATATAGCTTTTCAGGTGCCCGTAATATACTTACCAAAAAACCCCCAAACCAAATATAAGAGGAATATTCACAAAGTCATGTTTCTCCTCTCTCAAACCATTCTTGTCACTACACCACAGTTAGATCAAGCCATGAACTTTCAGGGCTGGAATGGGAAAGGGGTCTAAATTTTAGTTTTCCTTTTCCTGTCTGGGATGATTTTTCTTCAGGTAGCTGGGAAATAGCCTCCCTTGTAACAGATCAACAACTGTTTCAAAAAGAAGTCACAGTTCAGTGCATACCTAAAGGACTTTGTCCTATTTACTATGTATTATATACCTGGATCATAGTTCATTTTGTTATGATTGTTTATTCTTCTTTCTTGTTAATCAAGGCATTCAGGGTATTCATCAAAAGCTCTCTGTTGGGGCCCCTTTCTAGCTCTATCTTCATAGTCCTCATCGGTTTTCCTTCTCTATGAAATGTTCTTTGAATAAATCTGTGTTTTTTCTGTTTTTCTGGTTTCCAAGACATACGTGTCTTTGGTAATATATTATATTTGCATGTTTGTCTTGAAAATATGTACAATGTATTTCCATTCTCTTTTTATGGTGGGTGGTTGGCAGGTGCTCTGGTGTGGTTTGCTTCTTCTTTCCTATCAAACATCTATCGTCCTTATCTCCCCTTATGTTTGTTACTCTCTTGTAGCACCTCTAATCTTCTGGGGCTCATATGACCTTATGCAGTTGCGAGTGCTGTAAAACCTCTACTAAAACTAAAAAACTAAACTGTTTTTATGCATGCATACTGTATATACATATAGGCCTACATGCCTCATCCTCTCTCGCTTAAGGGTGACATCCTTTCTCCATATATACTTTTGTCTTCTGTTTCACTCTCTTTTGTACTGAAACAACTACCAAGACAATGACACAAAACCTTTTTTTAAAATATCTGTTTGAAGCACAGGAGTAGTGAACTACAACAAAAAGAAGAATTGCCTTCATCTGTTCATGTGTAATAGGCTTGAACACCGTTACTCTATATCTAGACCAGTAGTGGATAGACAAGGAAATAGTGTCAAACATTGAAAGGAAAATGCATAAATGTAGCCAAACCTGTGAGAGGTGGTTAGAGGGCGCCACTGGTAGGTCCCACTTTTGTTCTTTTCATCAGTTGTTTTTGTCTTTCTTTCTTGTTCTTCCCTATCACGATATAGCTTCTATTGTATGGGTGTGCTTCTTTTGGCTTTAAATGAAAACAATGTAAGAACTTACGGAAACAGTGGTCCTCATCTTACTGCTGTATAGGCATGTATATCGGAAACAGTGGTCCTCATCTTACTGCTGTATAGGCATGTATATCGGAAACAGTGGTCCTCATCTTACTGCTGTATAGGCATGTATATCGGAAACAGTGGTCCTCATCTTACTGCTGTATAGGCATGTATATCGGAAACAGTGGTCCTGATCTTACTGCTGTATAGGCATGTATATCGGAAACAGTGGTCCTCATCTTACTGCTGTATAGGCATGTATATCGGAAACAGTGGTCCTCATCTTACTGCTGTATAGGCATGTATATTTTCTTTTAAAAATATTCTTCTGGACACTTCAGAGTCTCTACAATGGGGAACGTCCACAACATAGCTCACAGTGGGGAGCATTGTACTATCATAGCTGTTGTGACAAAGTATCTGACAGTTGTACTCTCATTAAACAGAATCTTAGTTTGATTTGACCTGGATATGCTGCCAGGTATGCTAGTTAAAAAAATAAATTTATTTTTAGAACAGTGATGTGGTCCTTTAGAAGTTTGTGTTGGTGGTTGGTAGATGCTCTGGTGTGGTTAACTCCTTCTTTTCTATCAAATATCTATCTTCCTTACCTCTATTCTTTCTTTTCTTTGTATGTTACTGTCTAGTAACATGTCCAATCTTGGGCACTTTTATGACCTATTTGTGTTGTAAGTGCCATAAAAATCTAAAACTAAACTAAGAAGAAAGATTTGTCTAAAAGAGACAGTAACAAAAGTATGTAGCTGGAAAACCTGGGAATTGATGGGGAAAATCCGAATCTAAGGAGGCCAATTTTAAACCTGTAACTTAAGTAGTAATTGGAGTTCTTACAATTTCCTAAAATCTTTTATAGTTTTTAATAGCAATTTTTCAAAACACAGTAGCTCCTCAAAAGATATAACTGAGAAGAAAAAAAAATTAATTTGAGAAATTTTCAAAATAAAAAAACCATAGCTACACTCATAAGAGTTATCCGGACTATTAGAAACCTTTCTTAAGAGACCTTTGAAAGAAAGATGAGCTTTCTAAACCAGACACTTGACTAATTATTTGGAAGAATCTTGGTTTCATTCAGTGCGTCTTTTTCCTGCTTTTCTCAAGCTGCTGGACATATGCCATGACACAAAAGAGTAATTGGTTTCATTAAGTTGTGCTGAACTTTTCCAGTAGATTGAGGAAGTGAGGGAGGGGGGGAGGGGCAGGTTTAGTGGAAGCCTACTCCAATAGAAGAAGAATCGCTTCTGCTGGTGAATAGTGCTGGGGAAAATCTATTCTCTGATGTGTGTGGAAAATGTATTCTGTTGTATTGTTGTTGCATTCTTTCTTCCTTTTTCTCTTTTTTTGTGCTTTATTTGGGTGCAAGTGGTCAGAGGGTTCATGAGTGGGTCATTCATTAAATAGTTGTTATTGTGTTGACGTGTTTCTTCCCATACTAAGCAACTCTGTATGTGCAAGTGGTTGGGTTTCAAAATAAACTATTTATGACTAGTACAAAGTTTTATCACCGACCGGGGATATGCCACTGACTGTAGTGTCTTTAGGCCGTTCCCAAAGGGGGGACATTTCTCGTTCGAGCATAGTAGAATTTTAAATGGGCTGACTCATGTCACGCTCATAAGTGTGCCTGATCTACAACAGGGAACCGCTGCTTTTTCTTTCCTGATCCTTACTATTGTCATTTTCCTCTACTTCTTTTGTATGTTTGTCACTCTCTTGTGACCTGCTATTTTGGGGTATCTTGATAGTCGAAGCAGACCTTGTGCTGTTGAAGCTAGAGAGGTGAGCAGTCTGAGTCTGATTCCCTGTAAAGACTTCTCTGTTGACACCCACCCCTTGGTGCGCATATGACCGTATGCAGTTGCGAGCGCCGTAAAATCCTCTACTATTTTTTTAAAATAAAGTTTTATTTCGGTGACTAGGAAAAATAGAACCTGAAACGTGTTGGACTTTTTTATGTGGTCATTTCCCTTGCTGTTTGTTCCCCAGGCTATGTGGCTAATGCTGCAGGCTGAAACTCCAGAGGACTTTGTGGTGGCTACTGGGGAGACCCACAGCGTGCGGGAGTTTGTGGAGGCGGCCTTCAAGTGTGTGGGCAAGACCATCGAGTAAGTATTGCTGAGATAGTGCCCTACAGGACGGTTTGTTCTTTTAAAAGAAAGTGTCTTCGAAAAACCAAGAGAATTTTTGAAGATGTGGTTACAGGTGTTGATAAAATTTGCGTCTTATTTATTTATTTATTTTTTCTCAAGTAAATCTAGAGCATTCTTTGCTCCTACTCTTTGTACACAAGATACATAACTCGCTAAATATGGGATGGAATAACGTGACCAGCTTTTTAAAGGATTTTTTGTTAATCAGGTATAGATCCATTTTTTAAAATTACAGCGAAGGATGTCAGTGGTTTTGGAATTTGTTGAGTTGACAGTTCACTTTGAGTCACATGCTAACAACAACACTTCAGTATTGGGCTTTCCTTGTCTTGAAGTGAATATTTCGAAGAAAGAAAAGGCCAGTTTATTTGTGCTCAAAGATAGGTTTATAATATGCGCAGCATATACCAGCATACTCTCTTGTGACAGAGAAGCACCCTCTTTTAGTACCATCGTTAATCAAAGTCCATGGTTCTATTCAACAGGTTTTCTTGTGAAATAGCCTCACCTGTTGAAAAGGAGAGAATTCTAAAAGTAATGTATGCCTTCTTAGTATTTTTTCATTTAAAACTGCTTTGAACCACAGATGTACTTGAGGATGTCACACAATTACGAGAGTCTATATTTTCCTTTGTTTTTGCTTTTGTTTCAGGTGGGAAGGCAAGGGTGTGAATGAAATCGGAAAAGACAAGGAATCGGGAAATGTTTTAGTAAAAATTAACCCACGATACTACAGACCCACAGAAGTGGTAAGATTTTCAGGTTTAAAAAAAAAATCAGTTTGTGACCCTGAGCAAACTCCATTTCTGATGTTTAATACAACAAGATTGAAGAAAATAAAGTTGTAACTCAAAACTCTTTGATGTCTAAGTCAATGGAGTGCATTCATTTTGATATGTTTCTTTTGATACCATTTGTTTAATGTGAGGCCATATTTTCATACATTTCCAAGTAATACCTGACTCAACTTAAGTTTTGTGGAAATTTTATGGAGTTTTTGGAAGAGAAAATATAACATCTTATTGCAAATCATTTTTCTGACTTAAACACCTGATCTTTATTTTTTTCTCTAAACGAGTTTAGTGGTGGTAAAGCATTTTAGTAAAGCCTGGCACAGCTGTATTCTTTCAACCATTCTTCTTTCTTTTCATGATCTGAGTAATTATTATACTTGGGGATTCATTCATGTCTGGTCGGTGTCATGTGTAGCTGGCCTATTTTAAAAAATTTCTTTCTTTCATTCGCCATTTTGTTGCTTTTCTGAGTTCCTCTTGACTACCATTGTGTTTAATCGTGGTTTGAGGAATGGTCCAAATCTACTTGTGACTAAGTGAGGGACATACAGTAAAACCTTGCTATAGCGCCCTTTTTTCGGACACAAGATTTTGAATGTCTTAGGGCCCCTTTACACATACAGTTCATTCATCGACAAACTGACAGTTTAACCGAATGAGAGAAAATCCATTCAAACATACAGTTTTTTTATTGTTAAAGTGTCATTCTTTGACAAAACGCACAAAACACACCAAACAAAATTAACTTGGTAATCCGGCGTTAAATTGTGTTCCTCGAGTGAGTTTGACTAATTTTGGGTCGCTGATCATGAAAATCTTATTATTTTTTTTATTTGACCAATATTTAGGAAAATTTTGGAATGCATTTTCAACTCCGCCTGGAGCAACATCAAAGAAGCCGCTCTCTCGTCATGTGTTCGCCGGCCGGCAAATATCTGGCGTCGCCAGATATGTGGTGGTTGGACTGAGAACCCTTAGATATCGAGAAGATGGCTCGTTTCCAGGCTCAGTTGTAGCCGGAAGTTTACAGGATGCCTGCAGTTCTTTCTATATTCTACTGTTTGTCGATCAATGAACTGTACGTGTAAATGAGGCCATAGCTGAGACCGTTTTAGCCCCCAAAAATGGTGGGGTGACAGGGGAGGCTACTGAGTGATATTTATTCATTTGATTAGAGACAGTGTAATTGCCCCCTACTTGATAATAATTGGTCGCTTTTAAGCACAAGGGGCTATCCCTAAAAATGCTGTTTTGAGAAAATTGAAGGTAAAGTTTTTGCCCCTTGTTCAGTTCCTTTAAAATACAAGGAGAGTTTTCTCTATAACCAAACAAATATGTGAGACAGCGTGGTGAAATCAGGCGCTTGTCAAAATAATGAAAGTGAAGAAACTGGCATTTTTCCGCAGGTTTGGAAATTTTTGTTGAATTTTGTTTTTTGGCTCAACACCTTTCATGGCCGCTAAAAAACACATTTCTGTGTGGATTTTACTGAAAAATGTTGATTAAAGGCATAAAAGATGTAAATCTTCAGTCTCCAGGGATTCTCAAGCTAAGGAAATTACTCAATTTTGGGGGCCATTTTCTCGCTAACTTTACCTCTGAAACCAGGTGACCCCCGTCTCCTTCAGTCGTCAATACCTTTACTTACATCCAAGATAATGGATACTTTTTAAAATCACAAGCAAAGCACATCGACTGACTTTAAGATAATACCAATAACTCCATATGCCCCAAAATTGACGAGTGCCTGATTCCACCACATCGTGACACATATACACACCAATGAAACCAAACTTCGCCAATAGGTAGGGCAGTGCCCACTTTTGGTGTAGGTCGAGATTTTGAAAACCCCCGAAATCTGGGTTAGCCAGCTTGTCCTTATAAGCGACCAATTGATGATGGAAAAGCATTCGTTAAAAGTCTTAATAAAAGTTTCTTTCTTGTTTGCCTTTTAATGGTGATGACGCTGGTCAGTTGGAATGCCCACCTCCTTGCACCAAGCTGTTATCATCTGGGTTTTCTTTTTGCTGAGCTGAGCAGACCAGTCGATAAAGACTGGATTAGAGTGTGCACATGCTTGTGTGTGTCCGTTGGGGGGGGGAGATGCAGGCGTCCACTGATGGTAAAATTGGCATGTACTTGCAAAAAGATTTGCTGTAGCCGATTACATTGCATTCCTGGCTACGGTAAAAATATCGCTTTTGGTCATTTTTCTTTATTCTTACGTTGTAAAATGTTAACAAACTGTTGATCTCTAACATCCCCAGAAAGATTAACGTAATAGCAAAAAGTACAATTTACTCTGGTATATTTTAGACATAACTTTTTAAAAGTAGAGATAATAAATGGACCTGGGACTACAGACAGAAAATGTTACAGCTGAAAGTATGTTTTAAGCCGAGTATGCTATACTGAAAATTTACTGAATAATAAAAAGTTGCAAGTTTGATTCCTGGTTTTGTCAGCAGTGGTCTTGTATCCGCTCAAAATGTATTCACCTATTTTCCTCAATTCACCTACACATATCAGCAAAAGTTGACTAGGTTTTTGGTAGAGACAAACTTTGTAAATGACATGATGCACTGTGTGCCTAACCAGCTATTTGATTATTTTTATCTTCCCTTGAGATCTAGGAATCGAATGACGGGCCAAGAGAGTCACTGTGCATTTCTATGGATACACGTTTTTCACTTTTTTAACTCTTAAGTTCTTTTTAGCTCAGCTATTTGTACTTTTCAGGAACTTCTGCTGGGCGACCCGACAAAGGCGAAGGACAAACTCAAGTGGGAGACCAAGTACGACTTCCAGGTCAGATGAAGGACAATAGCAAAATTAGATTGAATTAAATATGACGCTTAATTGTGCTTACAAAAGTGACCATGGAGAGAGAAAAGAGAGAGAGACAGAGAGAGAGAGAGACAGAGAGAGAGAGAGAGAGACAGAGAGAATATAGAAGATGACTTAGGCAGGGGCAAAAATCAAAATACAATACAGATTGTGTGTTGTACATTGTGTTCAGCCTCTACAGAAGTTTCTAAATGGTGACTTTGTGGTTAGGCTCTCTGACCTGCTATTGTAAGGTTGTAGTTCAATTCCCGTGAGGGGTCTAGCATTGCGTCCTTGGGAAAGGCACTACTTTACACAAATTTTCCTCACTTCATCCAGGTGAAAATGGATACCTGGTTATAGACAGTGAAAGATTTTTTCAGTTTGTTAGTGTTTGAGCACATGGAATCTACAGCTTTCTGTGTATGCTTCACGGGAAGTTGAAAATGTTTAAGAGTGTTCTTCTAAGGTCTATTAGGGTAATAATATTTGTAAAGCGCATAGAGCATACAGTAGAATGTGCAAACGAGTTACACACATATTATTATTGTTGTTATTATTATCATCATTATTATTATTCCTCCAGATGTTGGTGAAGGAGATGGTGGAGGCAGATCTCAATCTGATGAGGACCAATCCAACCGCTTAACATGTGAGGCTGGATGAACTGTGGTAGAGGTAGTACTCCTTTTTTTCTTTCTTATATTCCCTTAGTGGGCAAACTGTTAGTTCTGTGTACATGGCCCTGGTTAGAATCTTGGCATTCATGACCCTGGGTTCTTTGGAGAGTTATCTAGGCTTTTGTCAATCTTTTCTCAGACCTGTCTGAAATGATTGTTATATTCAGGTTTCCAGCCTTGTAAGTAATCTTATAGTTATGGAAAAGACTATAAACTCTTACGATTACCAATTCTTCTTTCTATAAGTTGCAAAGAGGAATGAGTGTTCGGAGGAGTGACTGGTAGGCCTTACTTGTTTTTCTATTCCTATGTTGTTTTTGTCCTTGTATCTTGCTTTTTTCAAGCCTTTTAAGGCAGTTATCATATGGATGTGCTTTTCCTTACTCAAACTTACCAGAGACAAAGTGTCTCCATTAGGCATAAAGTGCCATGTGGCAGTATGTTATTCTAATGGTTTGGTAACTTAAGAAGCTGTTCACTGAATTTTGACTGAGTACTCATTCCACCCAATCACAGTATATGAGTGACAAGCCCGATGTCCTCAAAAGTCAGAGTTTTTGGTGTGTGGAGCATTCAGATAACTGATAACTCCCACAGCTTTATTGCTATACATGAAACTGTTGGTTGAAGAGGTAAATGAACCTCTTGTGCTGCCTTCATTAAAAGTTTTTTGTCATACTGATTGAAACTTTTCCTACTATACATAGTACCTCTTGGCTTTCAAAAAGTGGTTTGGATGCAGTGCTGCTGGATTCTAAAGACTGACATTTCTGAGCTGTTCAAGTAGGAACTTAATGAGTCAGTTTTTGAATATCATTCTGATGTAGATCGAGAATTCATTACAGCGTAGTTTATATAAGTAAACTAAGGGGGAAGATGAAAACCATGACTGAGCAACGAAAAATTTTTTTCAGAAAGGCAGGAAAAGTTCATAAAAAAAACAAACATTAGTCAACAATGTGAAATCAAGCACTCATCAAAGTCAAGAAATAGAAGAAACTAGCATTTTTGCAATGGTCTGGCAATTTTCATTGAGTTTTTGTTTTTTGGCTCAACACCTTTTATTTCCATTTAAAAACACATTTCTGTGTTGATTTTTCAACAAAAAAATTGATTAACACTTTTCGGCCTCTTGGCGCAATGATACTTTACTTACTTTTACTTTTTCATCCTCTGTTGCCGTTAAACGTCGAGGGGAGATGCAGTTTTCTATGGTAGGCCAGCTCCGCAGCTCTTTCAGTTGTGATGTTATGTTTTCTTAGGGTTTCCTTGACACCCTCGATCCACCTTTTGCGTGGCCTTCCTCTTCCATTATATAGCCTGAGAGCTTGGTGTTGTAGGCTCTCAAGGCTGGCTGGTCAGGTGACATGCGTAACAGGTGGCCAAACCATTTTATCCTCTGTCTTTCTATGTAACGCAGGCAGGACTCAGTGCCGATAGCTGCTCTTACTTCTTCATTTCTCTGCCTGTCTCGTCTTGTGATGTTAAGGGTTTTGCGGAGATATTTCATTTCGCATGCGGTGATTTTGCTTTCATGGGTTTTGCTTAAGGTCCAGGTCTGGCACTGATAACATAATGTTGGTATGAATATTGAGGTGATAAGCTGTCTCTTTGTATCCATGGAGATGTTTGGATGAAATAGAAGGGGTGCGAGCTGGTAGGTGACAGCGTTGGCTTTTTGAGTTCGCATTTTTATTTCTCTGTCTATGGACCCGTTTTCAGAAAAAGTGCTGCCAAGATATTTAAACTCTTTCACCTGTTTCAGTTGTTTACTATTGACATGGATGTTCAGGGGACTATGGTTTCGGTTCACTTTCATAACTTCTGTTTTTGATGTGCTTATTTTCATGTTGAATTTCTCACAGGTGTTGTTGAGTTCGGTAGTGTGATTTTGGAGGCTTTGTTGGTCATGATGAATTAGACATTGGTCGTCTGTGAACAGAAATTCATTTAGGCTTTCTGGGCTTTGGTTTGCTTCTTGCATTATTGTGTCCATATATAGTGGAGATAGAACGCATCCCTGTCGTACTCCAGATCTTACTTTGAACCAGTCTGTATTTCCTTCCTTCGTTCTTACTGAGCTTCTGCTGTTGGTATATAGAGCTCTGACATTATCTAACAATTGTCCTCTGACGCCATACTTTTCGAGTGTCTACCAGAGTTTTGCATGGTTTACTCTGTCAAAAGCCGATGTTGGATTCTTTGTTGTGTTCTATTGTTTTCTCGCATATCTGTCGTAATGCAAATACGGCATCCGTGCATCCTCTTCCCTTTCGGAATCCAAACTGAGCTTTGCTCAGATTTTTCTCTACAATAGTTCTTATGCGCTGCTCTGGTATCTTTGCATACATTTTTCCCCGAGTGTCTTAACAATGAGATGCCTCTATATGTTGTGCAGTCGTGTTTGTTGCCCTTTTTTTCCCATAATGATACCACAATGGCTTTCTGCCAGTCTTCTGGGCATTTTCTTTGTTCCCAGGCTCTGTTGAAAATACGCCTCGGCCACAGTATACTGGTGTTTCCACAAGCTCTTATGGCTTCCGCTGTGATGTCATCTGGTCCTGGGGCTTTGTTCTTGGGGCTGGTCTTGAGTGCCTTTTCTATTTCACTTGGAAGTGTTGGTGGATCTGTTTGATTTCCATAGGATGGTTGGAACTCTACTTATTGTCCATGGCAAGCGTCTGGGTTGAACAGTTCTTGGAAGTAATTTTCCCATCTTTTCTTGATTGCATGTTTGCCGAGAATGGCGTTTCCCTCTTTATCATTTATAATACATGTCGGGTTGTATGGGTCTTTCCTTATCCGCATGCTCTTCACACTTTAAAAAAATTCTCTTGGGCTTTCCTTACAGATTTTGGTCAGTTTCTCGCCATTTATTTTCCATGCATTTTCTTTAGCAGTTTTGATGATTCTTTTGGTCTCTCTTCTCGCTTTCCTGTATTCTATATAGATCTAGTCTTCTTCGATCTTTGACGTCTGCCATTTCTTGAATTTCGTCTTTTTCATTCCAATTGCTTCTTTGGTTTCATCATTCCACCAGCATGTTGTTCTGCCTTTGTTTCCACCTATTCTTTTGGTGCCACAACAGTTTTTCAGTATTTCTGACAGGGATTTTTTAAATATTTGCCATTCGTCTTCTATGTCCTTGATCTCAGGTGACAGTTTGAAGTACTTTTTGGTAATGTCATCCTCGGCTGTTTTTTTAGAATGTCTGGTTCTTCCAATTTTCTTAGGTTAGTCGTGGTTTTTCCCCTGTTTTTATTTGTTTACGTTGTAGGTTGTGAGTTGTGTTGCAATGATGTGCCAGTGAAAAATGTCCATTCCGGTCACCTGGCGCCAGGCCCGAGAAGTCAGTTGCAGTCGCTCTCCTGGCTGGGTGACCAGATGGGATTTTTTGTACTGCTGGCTGTGTGACTGCAAAGTGTACGAAAAGTGTACATTTTCAGTTTTCTAGAACTCTCAAGCTTTGAAAGTCACCAAACTTGGGTGGCCATTTTCTTGCTAATTTTACCTCTGAAACCAGGTGACCCCCACCTCTTCGATCGCAAGTATCTCGATTTTTAACTCAGTTTAAATTGTATTTTTAAAATCAAAATGAAGAAGTTTTTTGGTGATACCAATAATTCCTCATATCCAAAACTTGACGAGTGACTGATTTCACAGCGTCATGACACATTTTTTTTTTTTTTTTGTGTACCAAAATATTAAATACCTTGTGTCATGTATATGAAAAATGGAAGAAATTTGCTTTATAAGATTGGTAGGAGTACAGTTTTGATAGAGTTTGGGAGTTATGCATCTAAAGTCAACTCAAGGCTCAGCGAATCAAAGACTTTCAAAGAAACTCTCTGACTGCAGTCGGACATTGTCTTAAGTCATTTTCATGTATGAAAAGTGAACTTAGTATATTTTCTTACCCGGAGCTAGTTGGCTGCAGTCAAAGAGTGTTGGCTATTTTTAGCATATAGTTATTTTCCCCCACTTGTATGCTGATTTTATGTACATAGTTAGATGTGTATGGTCTTGAAGGGTCTTGAAAGACCATCAAGAGCGGTGCCTTTGCAATTGCTCCCATGAACATTGTGTTTCGTGTATCAACATTGTAAAATGAGCCCTGAGTTCTAATGTTCCCCCTTCCTTTTGCTTATGCTTTAAATGATTGTTTAGAATCTGACAACATTAGAAAGTCTAATTGTTTTAGGACTGCATTTTTTTTCTACTTACTCTTTTGTTTGTATTGACTTATGCATATGTCTTGAGAGTGTCCTTTTAAAAGATGGATTTGATGTGTGATTTAAATAAAACCTCTTTTTCTCTCTATCTACAGTGAGACAGACTGAAATCTGTGCATTGACATCAAGTGTTTGCAAATGTGTCTGCAGCTGAAGTTGACCAAAAGGATTGATTTCTATATATGAAAAAGGTCTTATTTCTCTCTACTGGGTAAAGCTGCATTGTTGAAAGAGGTGGAGAACGCCATCCTTGTCACAGATTACTTCTGTTTTTGTTTTTATTGATGCAAAACTTAAAAAAGAATATTTGCTAGTGTTGGGGTATAAAATAAAAAGTTTCCGGTTCGAGGTGCTGGTGTATTGACGCACTTAAACCTGTCATTACTTTCAGGACTGATGGGGTCCTTTTTTCTCTTGTTTTATTGTAAAGTATTCCTTTCAATGATTTTATCTTATGCTCATAAAGGTTTATTCTTGCCATAAGTGTTCCTGAAACTGTTGTTTGAAGGCATACCCATGTAAATAAGATGTAATGCATAGTTATTTTGCTGTGTAGTGTTTAGCTGATATTTAGTTCAATTCTGTGTGCAGAAAATTTTTGGGTGCTGACAGAGGAAACTCACTTGAGTGCTTACCTGACATTTAGTGGCATTTGTCATGCAGCAGATTTTTGGGGACTGATGTATGAAAGTCACTTGGTTCATTGTTCTCTAGTGTGAGAGTAGTAGTTTGCAAAGCTTAACTCTTTATCTCCGGCGAGCGGTCGTAACCCCTGTGCCGGTGAGCCGATGACAGTGGCTCAGGCACATTCCTTTATGACGACTATGACATCAAATTACTTTTCAACGGTTGCCGAGAACAGGTCTCTTTATTGGAATTTCATTCAATAGATGAAGAACTATCAAAATAGGTTCACATAGAAAATTTCTTAGAAATAAGCAATAATTAGCAATAATCGAGAAGCTTTCATGTTGGCTAGGCAATTTAGTGATGATTTTTGTCATTTTTAGATTTAGTACCAAAAAGGGGCCCCGACATAGTGGGTTTACCACTCTCAGAGATAAAGAGTTAATGGACATCACTAGACACAGCGATTGCCTCATAAAGATATTCAGTCAGTGTAATGTTATCCTCTTGTTTGAAAGCTGTGGTTACAACTGTTATTTTTGGGGTGTTTAGAGGTCTTGTGTAGTCTTTCAAAAACCGGTACATTTTATTGCAATGTTGTTAGAAGATCTTCTCTGTTACATAAAGATATTACATTGTTACGTTTGACATACAAGTACTTAATGTGCACCCTACCTAGGATAGAGAAGAGACAGGCTAGTGAGCTTTTTGAGGTAAGTAGGAGATAAGTTGTTAATTTCAGGCTAAGTAAAGCTATTGTATGAAACTCAACAGTCATTGCGTAACAATGAGTATCTGCTGTTCACATATCCTATTCCCATCGTTTGGTCAATTAATTTCATGAGGATCTGATGTTTTAATGTCATTTCTTTTGTTAAAGGGAAGTTTACGGTCTTCTTATCCATTTGGATGAATGTTTTAGGACAAAGGCTTAGAATTTGTAAAGGGTAGAGCTTTTTTCATGTAGTAATATGAAAATATGCATTTTTTAAAAAGAGATTCAAGTTATAGTTATGTTGTTCTTGTTTTAGCTTTGATGAGAAGATTTCCTAGAAATAAGCAATAATCGAGAAGCTTTCATTTTGGCCAGGCAACTCCCAGATCTTCCATATATTGTGAACAAGTGACACACAGTGAGTGAGCTCTGTGGAGATTTCTACTGCTCTTTACATTACTCATGTATCAGACGGGAAGCACATCTCCTTATTTTTCCTGTTTGTTCAACGGCACGATGCTCTGCTTTGTAATTTTGCTAAAGCAAACTTCAGTCAAACCTGTGTAAGACGGCCACCCATTGTCCAGGAGAAAAGTGGCCGTATTAGACAGGTGGCCGTCTTAGGCAGGACTGATCAAGATGAAGAAAACAAACCATTCCCATCTGAAGTCCCAATCGAAAGTAGCCGCATTGTTCTTGTTTTTGTTGTAGTTGGTTTGTATTTTGTTTGTTATTGTTATTTCGTTGCTGATTTTGCGCAAGAGTGACAATAAAACGAAATGTGTCAGACGAGGAAGACTGAGTGCAATGTTAAAACAAACACATGGGTTGCCACCACTCGAAGAATGAGTGACGCATTCATTTTGACATCCATTGTTACTTTGTTACAGACTGGGGAAACAGTGACCACTCATCTCACTTACGATTTGTTTATGAGTTCTGGGCGGGGCTTATGGGTTATGAGGGATCACATGCTTACCTCACCAGCTGCTGAAAATTAGTAGCTATTGGTCAACAGTGGGAGGGGCCTACCCAACATGATCGGTTGGAGGGACTACCTAACAACAACGACAGTTGATTGAATTATGACAGCTCACCCACAACGCCAGGGGCCAGTGCACAATTTATGACAAAACATAATGGAGTCACTAAGGTGACCGTCTAAGACAGGTGTTATTTCTTAGTGTGATAGTTTTTTTTGGTTAAAATATTGTGACCGCCGTCGCGTTGGACAGGTGCCCGTTTTACACAGTTAAATTATATAGAAAAAGCGCAAGGGGGGAAATGGAAAATGGCTGTTTGTACAGGTGGCCATCTTATAGAGGTGGCCGTCAGGGCAGGTTCGACTGTATTCTCATATATATCGATCCGGAAAAGCTTCTGTCCTTCTGATGTGATTTGGATTTAAGTATTGAATTCTTTGTTATTTTTAAAATTTTGGTGGTACTGTCTTTTTTATATATCTATATTTAGTACACCTATCCTTTATTTTCACTTTGGGTAAAAGCATTCCAAATTTCTACGACGAAACAGTGATGTAAGTCACTATTTTTATTTTTCAATGTGTTGATGTAGGCCCTAGGTGCAAGAGCTAATAGTATGCTTCCTTTACTCTTTGAAGAATTAGAAAAGTAAGTCCTGACATGCCTTTGAAAAAAGAAAATTATAAGTTCTATAATCAGAGTACCTTGTTGCTCAGCTGTGAACATAAAGAGTGAAAATCAAATTTTGTTTACTTTAGGAAGGTAACTTAAAGTCATACCTTTGCGAGAAGGGTCAAGAGGAGTTCATGTCAGTGATTATAACTACCTTTTAACGGTAAATTTAAAAGAATAATACCTTAATTACTAAGTCTTCAGGTTTCAGGTTGTAATAGAGTTTTTTTTGCTGTCCACAGCTTAAAATCAACAAAGTTCAGCTTGACATACTTTCTAAAGGCATTAGACAATTAACTCCTTGATAAATAACAACAGCAATATCAATTAATTATTTTTTATTCTTCCTCTGGGGTCTAAAGGTGAAATGTTCACAAATACTGTTCCACCAGTCTTGTTTGTTATACAACATAAGCACTATATGTCCAGCTCTGTGTTTCAATGTTGGTGATGTATTTAGATCACAGCGTTGTCGTTGTTGTCTGTATTTTTATGATTGTTTCCCACAAGGCATATTCTGTTCTTTGTTGGTCTTCTGTTAGCTTTCGTGCAAGGTCTTGAAAATTATTTTCCAGCAAAGGAAGAAGAAGAAATATTAGAGAATCTCCTCATTAATAGCAAAGCAGAACTGATGTGTAAAATTCAACCTGAAAAGAAAGAATTCAGAATATTTTGCGGATTATGGAATTTAGTATTTGACAGCCGGCGTATTTAAGAAAGGCTGTCATTATTCTCTTTATTCACGCTCAGGTTCTATGGAATTTAATGTGCCATAACGCAATGGAGATTTAATTTTTTTTCTAGTCTGTATCTGTAAAAAGATTTTTACAATATTATTTATACATTATGTCAATAAAAAGCTGTTTTAAAAAAATGAGAACTTGTAGCAAGTTCATCTAAGTGTCTTTAATTCTTGGGGCAAGTGGAGCTCTTTTGGGATATTCTTGATTTCTCTATGGTTGTTCATAAAAAATGTTACATTTGTTACTGTTTTGCTTTCAGTTCTGTTGCGTGTAATGCAATTTTTAAATCCATATTTTACGCTGTGCTTAATAGGACTCACAGAATACATTGTATTGCGCTGTTCTTAACTTAGTATTTTATAGATTATGTGTTTATGTACAAACTTCCCTAACAATGATAATCTACTATTTTATTTTGTCTTGTGTCTGTGTCTATTTGATAACAAAATGAGTAAAGAAAGGCAAAAGTTTGGTTCTTGAGGTAATACTTAAGCGTCGTTAAAACGCTCAGTTATTTATCCAAGGTTTTTTCTAATGTTATGTTGGACACATATCAGTTTGTGATGAAAAGAATGTTTGTTACCTGTACTTCAGATCTTTTTCTACTTACTTTTTTGTTTTAAAACATATTACGCAATTTTTAAATGGAGCTTTTCTCGTTTTCTTAACATCCTGTGTCATTTAGGCAGGCCAACGTTAAAAGCAAAATGTATTATTTTTAGACATAATTACAAACTCATTTTTCAGAGTATATTTTTTCAAAATGGCTACCTATTGGTTCTTCAATAATTCAGAAGTGCAAGGTATGGTACAGCTGTGACTTCATGTGTTTCATTTGTTCTACGTAAAAAAAAAGTTGCTCTTTGGATTGCCATGTTTAAAAGACAATGTAGCTGTAATTGATTTAAGATTGATGATGGTGCGTCTGAAACATTTATTAATATAAGCAGATCGAACTGTTTCAAAATTATGCTGTATATGTTGTCTGTTTCAAGCAATCAGTATAACTAGAGAAAAAAAAATGTTAAACCATTAGGGATTGTGTGTTTAATGTTGTGCTGGCAGAAACTTTCAGTTTGCAAGCGAAGTAATTTTTTTCCATATTTAAAGCTGTCACTGTTGAAGGTCGCCTACTCACTATTCAAGGGTTAATAAAGAGATTTCTTGCGTTTTTGTAGACGTCTCTGTCCATCTTGTGGAAATTTGTCATGATCGTAATTCTCAAAAGAGTGGAAAAAAAAGATGCACTATGCTGGTGTTACTAGTTTAATGTTTTAAATTGCTTACACTGCCGATGATATTACACATTTTTTTTCTAAAATGCCACAGTTATTTCAGTACACTTTGTTGTTTCTGTTATTTTTGGAATGAAGGTTTGTGTATGGAATACCCCAGCTCTCTATACTTGCTAGTTATACTACTTATAGTGGGAAGAGCTAAAGTGTAGCGCCTTCATAGCCATGGCTGTCGCCATTGTTCTTTTTGCCCACTTTAAAATTAATGAGAACTTATGCAGTGCCAAGTGGTGCTAGCTTTGATCTTCTCGCTTCTTACATTTCTTTGCCATAAGACTTTGAACTTCCTGTAAGCTTGTGAAGATCTCATATCCTACTTTGATTAAATCATACAAATGATGTTATGTTTCTCGTATGTTAACTCAATCGTGTTACTGCCCATAAGGATTTATACATCCGAATGGTAATAATTAGGAAAACTATTGTATAATACTCTAACTGCGTTCATGTTATATGAAAACTTGCCCTCCTGCTTTTTTTCATGGAAAATGGAAAATTCTAGATTTTTCTTGTCAGCATTCTTACTGGTGCTTCCTCTATAGCAAAGCAGCT